TCTGGCCAAACTTTCATTTAATAAACTTTTACCAGGATTTTTTTCTGTGTTCTTTTGCTAGGTAAAAGATATAGAGATGAGTGGGATCATCCCCTGTCCTTGAAAAGGCAAATCTGTAAGCCACTCTGATGCAATGTGATGTATTATACTAAGGGGAACTGGCACCATGCATCAGCAGTGTTTGTGCTACTTTTTGAACCTAAAAAGGTTAACCTCTCACCTCAGGGGACTCTGGCTGGGCCTCTTATACATGTGCTTTTCTAGGCAAAATTACTTCATTCAGAAGTCTTCCTTTTGTGTATTGCATACCAAACAGCCTAAAAATTGGGCTGGCTCCTTAGTCTAATTGAGTGTCATATTTTGTAGCCACAGTTGAGTCAGAAATGCAAGCATTATACTAGATGTCCTGAAATTAGCCAACATTGGAGATAGGGACTAGGTTCCAAGTAAGAGGCCTTATAACATTGCCTCCACAAACAGTATCCCTTTGTCATCGACCCTAGTTCCTGCTGCTTTCATAAGTATACATTGCTCCTGCCATGGACTTGCTGTCTCCAGCAGAAAGCTTTTAAACTTGACCCTCTGGAGAGGCTAAAGAATTAGGAGAGACCCTCTTAGAATTAGGCGATTGAGGTCTTTACTTTTTAAAAGCCTCACTTTTCTCATTAAACTTAAAAATCTCAGATCTGTCTTTCTGATAGTGTTGTTTTGAAAAAATAATGGTATTATACCTGTGAAAAATGTAGACATGTAGAGAATTGGGCAATCATTGACTTACCTGAGGGGTTAGAAAGTATTTTGTAGTCCACTTCCCTCCAAAGACATCCCCACTTTCCTAAACTTACAGTCTAGTTGGGTAAGGTACTATAGAAACATAGACATTTTCATTATAATGTGGCAAATGTTAAGAGAGGAGAAATAAGAATGCATAGGATGCTTTGAGGAAGGGATATTTAACCTCCAGGTGCAGAGAAGTCTTCTCAAAAGAGATAATGCCTGAGCTGAATTTTGAAAATGAATTCTCCTTAATAAGTATATGGTAGAGAATGAATAGTATTCCAGATCAGATGAAAGGCATAGTATAAAAAATGTGATTTGCACTGTGAAGTTGGAGTGGCAGAGGATTAGGTTGACAGAAAAGTCTGACTATATCAGACTATCTAACTTGGATGTTATTTTGTAGATAGGAAAGAAAGAATCATTGCCAGCTTTTTTAAAATAACAGCTTTATTAAGATATAATGCAGGCTGAGATTGTGGCTCAGTGGTAGAGTGCTTGTCTCGCATGTGTGAGGCACTGGGTTCAATCCTCAGCACCACATAAAAATAAATAAATAAAAGTATTGTGTCCATCTACAACTAAAAACAAATATTAATTAAAAATATATAATGCACCAAATAAAATTTACCCATTTAAGGTATACACTTCAGAGATTTTTAATATATTCACCCATACCACTATCCAATTATAGAGCCTTTTCATCACCTCAAAAAGAAACTTCACCCTATTTCTCTCTCTTTTTAGCTCTTGGCAACCACTAATCTTTTATTTCTACGGATTTGCTTGTTCTGGACATTTCATACCAATGGAACATGTCATTATCTGCTATTAAATAGAACACAGGTTCACATTTCAGTAAGATAATGCTGGCAGAAATGAGGAAGATGAGTTACAGGAGACCAACTCTGGAAGCACACAGACCAGTTAGCACAGTATTGAAACATTCAGAGGAAGAATGATAAGGCCCTCAACTAGGGCAACAGTAATAGGAATAAAAAGAGAGGGACCAGTTTGAAATGTTTATAAGTTAAAATTGGTGAAAATAAGAGTAAAAAGTCTAGGATGAATTCCAGGTTTTTAGTTTAGTAAACTGGGTAGAAAGTGGCAATACCAAAAGACATAAAAACAAAAGCTAGGGGCTTGTGGGTGTAACTCAGTGGTAGAGCCTGTGCTTAGCATGCTTGAGGTCCTGGGTTCAATTACCAACACATGTGTGCATGTATACAAAACTAAAAAACAAAACGAACATAAAAAAATAATTTTCTAAGTAAAATATTGGGGTTTTTTTTGGGGGGGGGGAATGAGTTCAGGTTTGTATGAATGGAGTTCAATATGAGTAATCCAGGAGATGTCCAGAAGATTAGATATGCAACTTACCAAAAAAAAAAAAAAAAGGGGGGGGCTAGGGCTCAGTATATACATTTGAGTCATCAGCACAGAGGTGGTAATTAGAAATGGAGTACCAGAAGAGCATATAGGTCCAAGACAGTACTCTTGAAAGCATCATCTATGGGATGGGAAGAAGAGCCTCCATTGGAGTCTACAGAGTAGCCAAAGGTAGAGAAGGGAACCCAAAACTGTAGAATCATAGAAGCCAGTTGAGAATAAAAAAGTAGTGGGAATAGTCTCCAACTAGGTGCTAATAGCTAGTCTTAGCTGCATGGCTCTGATTGCCATATTCTGTATATAACCAATACTAATACAATTCTTGAATCATACACAGATGAAGAAGTTAATTAGCTGTGGCATGAACAGAAAGACCAAATAACCTAAGAACTATTTTTTGTCTATTGAGCTGTTAGGGAACTCACTGGGATCTTCAATGAGAATATTTCCAGCAGAAGCCACTGAGTGGAAGAAAAGGAAGAAAAAAATGTCACAAGCTAAACCTGATTAGCTTAGTGTTTTGTTTGTTTTGGTACTGGGTAGGAATGCTTTACCACTGAACTATATTCCCGGTCCTTTTGTTGAGGCAGTGTCTCAGTTGCTGAGGCCTCTCAGCCTCCTGAGTCACTGGAAAGACAGGCATGCACCTCTATGGCTGGTTTAGCTTAGATTTTTTAAAGGGCAGGCTCAGGGGGTTTTGGGGAAACTTGAAGCTAATCCTGGTCAGGGCTCCTCATTTTTCTTATCACCTCAGATGTAGACTATTTGACTTTTTTTTGGTTCCAATGACCAACTACTGGCTATGGAGAAACCTTAAGAGAAGCGGCGGTCCATTCCCACTCTAGGAACACTAGGCTATGCAGCCTTAACCCACACTATAGGTCCATGATCATTCCTGCCTTAGCCATTTCTTAGCTGGAGATGCTACTCAGAAGTCACTTTCTACTAGATGGGTGATTTGCAGAAAGTGAACAGGCCTCTATGAATATGAATATGGGATAGAAACTGAACAGCATTGACAAGGGTGGTATACTATGGCCACATTCTATTCCTATCCTGCTGCTCCCAAGCTGGCTTTAATAGGGTTGTTTCTAAGTACCATAAAGCAAATAGTAAATAGGACTTTAGTCCAAGCCTTAGAGACAAAGAGTTGTTGGTGAAATAGGAGGAGAAAAGAAAAGAGACATGATAGGATAGTGCCCTTTACCCATGGCTTTGGCTAATGCAGACTGGCCTAGGGCCCATTTCTTATCAAGTCAGGGAGTTGGGATGCTGATTCGGCAGGACTGATGGGAGAGTCAAAGCCAGGACAAGCACAAGGACAGTCCTTCTTGGAAGCCAGACGACGTATATGTACTTGGGATCCAGGGTAGGAAGTGTGGTGAAATCACAGGCTCCTAACTTCCAGCTTGAGGAAGAATGGTGTAATCGCATCAAGGCCAGAATAATTAATGTGTACTTGATGCTGAGTAAGCAAGAGGTGACTTGACAATGTCTTGGCAACTAGACAACAGGTTGGCAAGGGAAAGGGGGCTGGTTTTGGTCAGATCGGGCCTTACTGGCCCCAGAAAAGTTTCCATAAGCCAAGGATTCCTGATCTCTGCTGCCTCTGGAGGAAGGGGTGGGGCGAGATACCTCCTAAGCCAGAGTGGCTTAGGGTTATTTTGAATGCAGCTATTTGGGGAGAGCTGGTTGCTGCTTTATGTTTGTTTATAGGTCATTTGGATACACTCTTTCTCTGCCGACAACAGCATTTGTTCAGTGAACATACCCTTAGTCTGACTTATGAATTAAATATGGGGAGGAAGAAAGGACCAAACCAGAATCTGCTCCTGAGGTGTTCATAACCTCTGCTAGACTGTAAGAGAAAATAGCATACAGGAGCCAAAGAAGTTGAGAAAAGAGGGATATAAAGGTGAGGACTTAAGAGCAATTTGCCTAAAAAGACATAAAATTTTCTTAGGTAAAAGGGAGAACTGGATGAGGATGTTGGGGGGGGGGTGTGGCTCAGTGGTAGAGTGCATAATTAGCACTCATGGGACCCCAGGTTTGATCCCAGCACTACATGAGAAAGAATGAATTGAGACCATCCCAAATGAAAGGGAATGGTTTAAGCAAAGGCAAAGGTTTGGAGGGCTTGTTCAATCTTGAAGTCAGACTTGTTTAAGACAAATTGGATGGGGGAAATGCATAGGGATTCCAGGAGCAGGGAGGTGGCAGGTAGAGGTAGGCCAATTGGAGGAGCCAGATCTCTTTTTGCAGTGCTAGGGATCAAACTGAGGGCCTCACACATGCTAAGCACACACTCTACAACTGAGCTATACCCCCAGCCAGATCAAACTTTTCATCCCAGGAAATGAGGTCACTTGTAATTGGTGGGCAGTGAAAGTTAGTGTAGGCTAGAGTACTTGTCCTAGTTTACCTCACTTGGCAATTTAAGGCCTGGGACTAGGGTCTGTGCACTCTGAGAAAAGAGGAAGGGAGGCCAAGGACCTGATAGTCTGTCCTACACTAGACTATAAGCTTCAAGAGGACAAGGATTTCTATTTTGTTTATTGAGATATCTCTGGCACTTAAACGACTGTGCTAAGAACATAAAAAGCAAGGGTAAATATTTGAGTTTGGAGACTGAAGTGACACCTAGGGTAGCCACTGAAGTTCCAGAGGTAACTCATCTCTTATGGCTATCTTAAAGCCTCCATTTCTGACCACTGAAGTCAGTCAGTGTAGAATGTAGTTCACCAAGAAGCCCTATATTAGGGAGGCATAGGTGATAACTCTATAGCTGGCTAATTCCCACTTGTGAGCCATCTTCTTTTCTTTGGGATCTCTAGAACTGCCTGATAAAGAGAGATGAGAATGGTTATTCTGCAGTGGTGGCTGACTTTGGCCTAGCTGAGAAGATTCCTGATGCCAGGTGAGTAGCCCTAATGGATGCTAGAGCTGCAGAGGAGATTGTTAAAGCTAAGGGAAAATCCAGCTTCCTCCCTGGAGGCTAGGACTTGATCACAATAGTTTAGTGTCAGTTCAGTGACTGACTTCAGTCAGTCCTACTCTGTACCCATCCATGGGAGATAAGAATTTCCAACATTCAAAAAATTTCCAGTGTGCCAGGCAGTGGTGAATTCATTTTCCTTATAATCTCACCCCACAGCATGGGAAATGAGAAGCTGGCTGTGGTGGGATCACCCTTCTGGATGGCACCCGAGGTTCTCCGAGATGAGCCCTATAATGAGAAGGTAAGTCTGGAGGATCTGGAGACCTAGTTCTCTTTAGAATCCACTTTTAGCAGAAGGTACTAAGGGTCAACCTTTATGTTCAGGTTAAGGAACATTCTTTTTGCCAAGAGCAACGATGGCATCTGGCAATCGCCCAGTGAATGATTTATATGGGCTATAAGTCCTAGGTCTGGGCTTTTAAGACATAGGGGAAGATACCCTTATCTTCTTGTCAATGAGAGGGCAACTGAGGTCTGATTACCCACCAGGCAGACGTGTTCTCTTATGGCATCATCCTCTGCGAAATCATCGCCCGCATCCAGGCTGATCCAGACTATCTTCCCCGCACAGAGGTGAGCTACAGGCTTGGGACCCAGTGCCACTGGGATGGGGCTGGTTTGAGCCTATAGAACTATTTTGTCCTTGGGGTGGAGTTGCTGGTACTCATTCTGTGGCTACTTCTGAGAGGCAGCTCCCAGCCTCCTCTTTTGAACAGGCCAGGATGGGTGGGGGATTAATGACCTGTCTACCCATGTCCCTGTACCCACCCCACCATACCCATCCACAGAATTTCGGGCTGGACTATGACGCTTTCCAGCACATGGTGGGAGACTGTCCCCCAGACTTTCTGCAGCTCACCTTCAACTGCTGTAATGTGAGTGTCTTTCTCCCTGTGGCTTTGGTCAGGGGCTGTCTGAATCCTTTTCACCTGGTTAAGACCATAGGGAGAGGCAGCTGATTAGCCTCATGAGGGGACACATTTTCACTGGATGTATAACACCAACTGCACTGCCTCTTCTGGGCCTGGCCAGGGTCTCCGGAGCCCTGGACCAAGGGAAGATAAAAACAGCTTTGTATTACCCAATAATCCTCAGCTTGCAGGGCAGACCTACCACTCCTTGCATTTGGGTATTGAAAGAACTTTGGTCAGGTTTTATTGTTGGACTGTGGGTTACGCTTGTTCTGAGGCACATGGGGGAAATGCTTGTTGACCTTCGTTTTATATAGTTAGATAGCAAGGCTAGATCTGTTAGGACCAAAGAGTAGCTAGGCTTTGTTCAGGTAACTCCCCAAAATACATCAGTATCAGAACTCAAGAAAAACAGAAGAAACTAATGTGAGCGTACACTTTTGGAGGGTTGTATTCCAAACAAGGGGATAAGACACACACACAAAAAGAACTAAGATAGTAAAAGATAATGACAGTAGCATCTTTCCTGCCTTATCCCTGGGAATCATTCTCATGGCCTAGGGCCTCGGGAAAATCTCAAAGCTGCACATCTGCCTCTTAAAAGATGCTAGAAACACATTCAAATTCCACCTGTGGAGTGGGAGGAGGGCGGAGCTCATGACTGGTGTGGATGCCTACAGATGGACCCCAAACTGCGTCCATCCTTTGTGGAGATTGAGAAGACCCTGGAGGAAATTATGAACCGCCTACAGGAAGAAGAGCTGGAGAGGGACAAGAAGCTGCAACCCACAGCAAAGGGTAAGAGATCATAGACAATCCAACTTGACCCCAACAGAAGAAATTAGTCTATGGGGTCTACCCCCCAGGGCTGTGATTGCAAGAACTTGGGTCTAGAAGGAAGAGGGGCAGGAGATCACGGGGAAAAAAAGTACTGGACTCTTTTTTATTAAAGAGTTGTGACTTGACTTACTGCTTTCCTTCTGAGTGTTTCCTCATTGATGAAATGGGACATCAGGTCCTACTTTGCTTTCCTGAGTGAAAACACTAATGAAGTGGTACTTTTGTTGATTATGACTACTGAGAATAACCCAGACCTGACTCACTGTTCTTTAGGACCCTTAGAGAAAGTGCCTTCGGGGAAGAGGCTGAGCTCACTGGATGACAAGATCCCCCACAAGTCACCACGTCCAAGACGTACTATTTGGCTGTCTCGAAGCCAGTCAGACATCTTTTCTCGTAAACCCCCACGTACAGTGAGTGTCTTGGACCCCTATTACCGGCCACCAAGAGATGGTGCTACCCGTACCCCCAAAGTCAACCCTTTCAGTGCTCGTCAGGACCTCAAGGGCGGCAAGATCAAGCTCTTTGACCTACCCAGCAAGTCTGTAATCTCCCTGGTATTTGACCTGGATGCACCAGGGCCTAGAACTACACCCCTAGCTGACTGGCAAGAGCCCTTGGCCCCACCTGCTCGCCGATGGCGCTCTTTGCCTGGTTCACCAGAGTTCTTGCATCAGGAGGCCTGTCCATTTGTGTGCCATGAAGAATCATTATCTGATGGGCCCCCACCACGACTCAGTAGTCTCAAGTACAGGGTAAGAGAGATCCCGCCATTCCGGGCAGCTGCTCCAGCCCATGAGGCCATGGACTGCTCTATTCCCCAGGAAGAAAACGGTTTTGGGCTCAAGCCCCAGGAGACAAGCCCATGTTGCAGAAGTGCCTCTGAGGAAATGGAGGTAGAAGAAGGCAAGCCAAGAAACTTGGCTGCAGTACCCTAATCTATCTCGAGCATAGGACTGCAAGTCCAGGGAGAACAGGATGGATAAGGGGGTTTAGTCCCTGTCTTACCTTGGGGATGGACCTTCAGCTGAAGCCATAGGGACCCCTTGGTGCACATCCTCTACTCATCCCTGGAGCCTGGCTAAACTTTTGGGTTCCTATTTACCCAATGGCTGCATGAGAGGGAAGGCAGCAGTGAGAGGCCTTCCTAGTTAGAGCCAACTGGTGATGTTAAACAAGGAGCTCGAGTTTCTACCTGACCCAAGTATAGTTCCCCAGACAGGACCAGAGAACTCTTAGTTCTAGGTTGAGCTGGCAGGCGGTATTACCCTGGTTCTTCTACCATCCCAAATCTATGTTGCCTTTTTTGGGGGCATATAAGCTACCGGATGGAACTTGGAGCTGACCAGGAAGTGATAAAGGGCTGAAGACTGGGGTGCTTCTTGCCAGTATGTCTAAGACACTTGAATAATTGCTGTTTGCACTTACTGCATTGTCAGACCACATCACTATGTTTCTATGCAGGGGGAGGGCAAGGTAGCGTGGTGGTCATGGCTCTTAGCTAACCCATTCAAAGAACTTTTCCAGTTGATTAATCTATTTTCATATTTATAAAGGAGTCTTAATGTTCTGCCTCATTAAGACTTTCAACCTTGTGGTTGGGAGTGGGGCTGGTTTTGTAGGCCCTAGGGCCTGCTCTATGTTATCAACAGGTGATAAACACCCAATTGGTTAAATGGTTTATACTTGGACTGATTTTTTTTCCCTTCCTGCTATAGCTGGAGCTTCGGGAACAGTCTGTCCTTACAGAGCCGCAATAAGAAATAACCAAAGAATGAAGTTGGTCAAATATTTTCATAACTCATTTCTGTTGATTTTTTTGTAAAACTCTCCCAAGACACTTTCAGATTTAAAAATAAAGTTGGTGTTGCAGGTGCTGGTCAGCCTTCTTACTTGTACCCTCATACCTCAGCCTCTGGGGTAAAGGAAAAGGTCCAGGGGCAATGTAGCCAGTATCTGTTAGGTTCTCCCACCTTAATTCTGTGTAGTTGAGTGTGATATTCACAGGCTAGAGAGACCCAAACAACTCCTTCTACTCTCAGCTTTTCTTCCTGGGCTGAGTATCTCTCATAAATTGGGTCAGCTGCTGCCCCATGCCAGCTTCATCTTCTGATTGTGTGCTTTGGAGGAACGAGAGAACTGGCTCTTGGCCACTGTGAGGGGGACAGCTTTGCCACTCAGATATACCTTGTTGTGACATTCGGGTAGCCAGGGTTCAGAGCTGCAGGACTGTGGTCCCTGGATCACTCCCACATAGGCCATCACATAACCTGTCATAAAGGCATCAAAACCAGCCCGGTGCAATCCATCCCCAGGCACTGGGTTAAGACTGGCTTGGCCCCCTGGCACTTCTGAGGTAGCCATGTCAGTTGTTTCATACCTTGTTGCTTTAAGCTCCTTCTCCAAGTCATTTTTGTGATCTTGATCAGAGCCAGGCTGGTCCTTTGTATCAACCTCAGCCACTTTCTGCTCAATTTCCTCAGCCTTTAGGTCCCCATGGACTTGCTTTGTGGGAGGACCATCCTCAGCTTCCCCAGAGGTCTGTGTCCCAGGCAGGCTCAACAAAGCCCTTCTACGTTTTTCCCTACGTCGTCGTCGCCGCCGCTTATCCTCTATCACAGCCTCATCAGTGTCAATGATGAGATCAATATCATGGGACCGAGGACACTGTGGTCCCATGGGGCACCAGCCATAGGCCTAGAGGTAGGAAAGAGGGCTTATATAAAGGAGTTTCAAATATCAGAACTTCCCCTCCCCCAGGAAATGAGCAAGTGGTCTCACCGAGAAGTTGTCACAGATACTGGTGGGATGAGGACGGTGAATTGCAGGGGTCATGCAGCAGCGATAGTCAATATGAGCCCTCATGCTAGAAGGATAGCTGCAGAACTCCAGGGTAAGGTGTGGGTTGCTACCTGCCCGCTGCTTCCCATTTTCCCGCTCACTACAAAAGTGCAAGAAGGTATTGGTTCACTAGATCAAAGAGAACAGGAATTTTTGTCTGCTGAATCTTAAAACAGTGCCTAGCACATGGTAAGTGCTTGACAAACATCTTAAGTGAATGAAACAGACTCATACTAGGCCCCACCCTTTTCCCTCAACCATTCCCTCACCATTTCCGGAATGCATATTCTAAGTAGGAGGCCGTGAAGCGGGCATGAAACTCAGCAGCATATTTGGTATCATAAATGCCTGATGGGAACATCTCACAAAGGTCAGCAGTGAAGGTTCCCAGGCTTTCAGGCAGGTGTGCATAGAAGTTCTGGTACAGGAACACCAAGTCTATAAGGCCATTATGCAGCACAAGGGGCCGACGGGCCCGAATTAGCTCCAGGAACAGTGTCCGTACTGACTGGCTCTGGCTCTCATCACCCTAGGTGGAAGGGAAGGGGTCAGATAGACTCCTCTACAGGACATTAATCCCAGGCTTCCCCACCTGGAAAATTTTCCCTTGTTATCTAACCCGATGTTACCCACCCTTGTATTAATTTGTCTTGTTTTCCCATATTGTCATTAGTGATTTCCCATACTCACATAAGCAAATTCTTCTCTGGCATCTAGCCTAGGGTAGGAAGAAATAAAGTCACTTGAGCGCCAGACTCAAGGTTAAGGAAGCTGAAGTCCTACCTTGTCATTGCCCTTATGGTAGGGTATGCCTTGGGCATACTGGCGATTAAAGTTGAAGCCATGCTGCACCAGGAACTGCACAGACTTTGGTTCTATAACATATTCCTCCATGCACAGCAGGGTAAGATTGAACACCTGGACTAGGTAAGAGTGTTCACCCTGAAAGAGAAAGATATCTGTTATATCAAGATTTGGAAGAAGAAATCCTCACACCTGATGTTCCCCTGCAACTCAACCCTCCTCCCCACAGCCACAAACTTGGGACAGGAGTGAGACAGCTCATACCTTGTCAGGCTGCAGCTTGAAGCAAGCAAGGCCCAAGGAGAGGATAGAACGGGTCCTAGCAGCATGACACACAGCCTTGTAACGTTCCTCGATGCACCTTGGGGTTGGTTTTGAGGGCAGTTATGGCTGAATTATTTCATGAAAGAACCAAACCACCCAGGACTGTGACTCCCCACACACTCCAGGGTTGATATCTGCCCCTCCTGCCAGGGCTGGAACTAAAGACTTAATACTTACTGGTTCAGCAAACTCTTTCTGTCTCCAAGCCCACTCAGTTCCTATGGGTGGATTAAGGAAGGGCTGTGAGTGGCCCCCCAGTACCAGTCCCTTCAAAACCACCTGTCCTCCCTGTTTCCCATCTCATACCGTGTCCACAGCCACAAAGCTAGCAGTCTTTATGGCTAACAAGAGGGATGGCCACATCTCCTTGAAGTTGTCACTTTGCACATCCACCACAGGAACCTGGATTAACTCATCCCCAGATTTTGTGCATTTGTTGATACAACCTGGGTATAAGAATGGTGATCAATGTGCGTGCTCCCAGGTGAACAGACACCAAGCTAGCCATAGGGGTTGGGTTCCGATGTTAGCTTTTCTCTTAAACCTTTATGTCCAAAGTGCTTCACTGGAATGGACAGTGCCCTGAATTTGGGGAAAGTCTTTAAAGTAAGACTTCCTCCTCAGCATAAATCAGTAGAAAGCTAAACAAGATGTTCGAGGTTTCTTTTCCCGCTCCCTTTAGTCAATATTTCGCAGGGTTTGAGGATGAGTTCCCTTAAACTCCCTTAAGGCGCCTCACTACTGTTCTTATGGTGCCCCCGCAGCCACAAGCTGTTCCTAGCATGCCCCATCGCCTGATAAATATTGGCCCACACCAGAGCTCTCAATACGTCCTACTTCCTTTCGACCATCACGTGTAACTTGCCCCATTTAAACGAATCACAAGAGTTCCATCCAGACCACATCTCCCGACAGACCCCACCAGCCCTACGTTCTCAACACTCCCAAGCTTTGCAGCTGAGCGCGCAGCTCGTGGCTGCTTCCGAAGAAAAGAGTTACTTTTCTGAAGGTTAAGATCTGTATCAACCAGCCCGAGGTCTTCCCCTCCCCCAGAGCACATAAACTTCTAGGGCGGCCCTTGGGAAGTCGCTCACCGTCTGAGGCCGCTGGAGCTGAAGCTGCGCCATCGTCACTGTCGGCAGCCATGACGCAGAGCGTGCCGCGCGTCCCTCTCTTGAGCTGCCGGAAGACTTCCGTTTAGCCTCCTGGCTCGACTCCGGCGGTCGAGGATGGGGCGGGGTCTCACGCGTGGGGTCGCAGTAGGGTTGGACTTCCGTTCAGACCTCCCGGGCCCTGTGCAGGGAAGTGGGCCCGGCCCGCGCTGAGAGCCTATTGGCTGGTGCTGCGGACTCCCCGCCTGGATTGGCCGGAGCCACGCCCCTTGGTGTTGCGCGGGAGCCGGTGGAGGAGGTAATTTTTCTTCCCACGCGTGGCCTCGGGAGGGTGGGAACCCAGTCTTAACGCCTGCGGTGTTTGTCTGCACCGTTCCGGAATGCTTTGGGTGGGCAGGGCGGGATTCCCAAAAGAGGGGGCACTTCCTGAACTGAGCTTAAAATATGCTAATGAGTTAGGCCAGAAGAAGGGCATTGGGGGAAAGAAAGGTGTTCTGGGCATGGGCAAATTCCCTGGGAAGATGGAGAGCTTAGTGCGGGCGGAGAGCATTCCACAGAACAAGGATGTTGAGGTTATAAAGCGACTGACTTTTTAAGAGGGAAGCATTTGAAAAAGTCCAAGCGATGAAGTAAAATAGAATTAAGGTTCTGGTAGTGGGGATGATGAGGAAGGTTCCATTTGGAAAGCAATTAGAAAGTACAGTTGACCTACACGGTGTTTGGGCATGACTCTTACTACCGTGAGAGAGGAGAGAGGTATTAGGAGTAGTAGTCTCTTCCCAGGGACTCTAGTTTTCTTTTTTCTTTTTTTTTTTTTAAAGAGAGAGTGAGAGAGGAGAGAGAGAGAGAGAGAATTTTTAATTTATTTTTTTAGTTCTCAGCGGACACAACATCTTTGTTGGTATGTGGTGCTGAGGATCGAACCGCCGCACGCATGCCAGGGGAGCGCACTACCGCTTGAGCCACATCCCCAGCCCCAGGGACTCTAGTTTTCATTCCCTGGGCCCAGCAACCGATTCTCCTTGTTTATTGTTTCTAGGGCGTCTTTTAACTTTTCTCCCCCTACTGAGTCCTTTTCGTCATTATTGAGTTGCTTGGACTTATCCCCTTCTTTTTAAAAAAGAAACACCGTCCTCCATTCCATTAATTAAATTAACAAACATTTACAGTGTTTATCTGGCTTTGGCTTTGAGAACACGACAATTAACAGAAGAGATCTAGTCCTGGTCCTCCTGGAGGTTTTTTTTTGTTGTTGTTGTTGTTTTGTTTTTGTTTTTTGTTTTGTTTGTTTTTTACAGTCAAGTAGGGTGAGCAGGGCTGGATTATGGCTCAGTAGTAGAGGCACTGGGTTTGATCCTCAGCACCACGTAAAAATAAATAAAAGTATTGTGTCCATCTACAAGTAAAGATATATATATTTTAAAGTAGGGTAAGCAGACACTAACTGGAAGAATCACAATTAAGTGTGAAATTACAGTTAACAGCTATAATGGAGGGTTGGGATTGTGGCTCAGTGGCAGAGTGCTTGTCTCACACTTGTGAGCCTCAGCATCACGTAAAAATAAATAAAATAAAGGTACTGTGTCCATCAAAACTAAAAAATATTTTTAAAAAATAAGAGCTATAATGGAGACCTAAGAGAGTAAGGTGCTTGAACATTTAAGCCAAAACCTAAAAAATGATTGGATATTAGGAAAAACATAGAAAAGCTCTCTCCAAGCAGAGGAAATGGAGTGTATGAGGCCTCAAAGTGGACAGACAACTTTGGAGATTTAAGCAACTAAATTCAGGTAAATGTGGCTTGAGCATAGTAAGAGGAGAGGATGAAACAAGTACAGCCCTGGCACATGGACCTTCAAGGCTATATTAACAGTATTGACTCATTCTTTTTTTTTAATATTTATTTTTTAGTTTTAGGTGGACACAATATCTTTATTTTACATTTATGTGGTATTGAGGATCAAACCCAGTGCCTCATGCATGGTAGGCGAGCACTCTACCACTGAGCCACAACCCCATCCCCAGTATTGGCTCATTCTAAGAGCAAGAGATATGACAGCCAAAGCCCTCAAAAAGGTTCTTAGTGATCCTATCCCACCTTCCCATCTCTTACTGTTCACTCATTCTATTTAACCACATTGGCCTGCCTAATGTACCACAAACATGCCAGTCACCCTTCTTAGAGTCTTTCCACTAGCTTCTTGGAATGCCTCTTCTGTGTATCTACATAGCTAACTCCAGCTGCTTTAAGTTATTGGTCAAATATTACTGGGCTGAGGATGTGGCTCAAGCGGTAGCGCGCTCGCCTGGCATGCGTGCGGCCCACCGGGTTCGATCCTCAGCACCACATACCAACAAAGATGTTGTGTCCGCTGAGAACTAAAAAATAAATATTAAAAAAATTCTCTCTCTCTCTCTCTCTCTCCTCTCTCACTCTCTCTTTAAAAAAATATATATATATTACTTTTTTTTTTAGTTGTAGATGAACACAGTATCTTTATTTATTTTTATGTGTTGCTGAGCATCAAACCCAGTGTCTCACATATGCTAGGCAAGCACTCTACAACTGAGCTACAACCACAGCCCCAAATATTACGTTAATAAGACCTACCTTGACCACATTATTTAAAATTGCAACATTTCATTCCCATTCTGGCATTTTATGCCCTTCGTTTTCTCTACTTTTCCTCTTTATGCTAATAGTATTGCCTTCTAACATCCCATATAATTTACTTATTATGTGTTTGTATTGCCTACCCCTATTAGAATATAAGCTCCATGAGGACAGGAATTTTTTATTTATTATTATTATTATTTTCAGTTGTAGGTGGGCACAATACCTTTATTTCATTTATTTATATGTGGTGCTGAGGATCAAACCCAGGGCCTCACACATGCTTGGCAAGTGCTGTACCACTGAGGCACAACCCCAGCCCAGGAATCTTTGATGGTTTGTGGTTTGTTTACTGAATAAACAGGTTGACACATAGTAGACAATCTATATATATTTGTTTAAGGAATTAATGGGAAGTCATTAAAGGTTGTAAGAAAGGAATTGACATGATCATGTCGTGAAAAGGTTACTTTGCTCTTTGGAAAATTGTAGAATAAATTGTGGGAGTGAGTTTGGTAAAAGAAGTCTGGCCATGAAGGGGAGGAGAGTGGGTCTTGGTTGGAAGATTGGAGGAACAGGACCCTGGGGAAAAAGAGAGATCCCTCCTTCACATAAAAGGAGAAAGAAGGAAGTCAATGCAAATGGAGGGAGGTTTGTATTGTTTTTTTCACTGAAGGAGGCTCTTTTATTTATTTTTTTAGTTGTCGGTGGACCTTTAATTTTATTTATTTATGTGTGGTGCTGAGAATTGAACCCAGTACCTCACACATGCTAGGCAAGTAGTCTACCACTGAGCCACAACCTCAGCCCCAGGAAGCAAGCTCTTTTGATGAAAATGAGATGGTAAAGTTGAAACCTTGAGGTAAGAGTTTGAAATAGGCTTGGGATTGTAGCATAGCCAGAGTATAAGAGTGCACACTCAGTTTGAAAGATCAAGTTGTTTAAACTCTACAAACCTTCATTTTCTCATAGCTAAAATGGAGGTAGGCCAGCTACTGTGGTGCATGCCTATAATCCTGGAGGATCATAAGTTCAAAGCCAGCCTCAGCAACTTAGCAAGAAAAAAAAATAAAAAGGGCTGAGGATGGAGTTCAGTGGCTAAGCACTCTTGGGTTCAATTCCCAGACCATAAATAAATAAATGGAAGCAGTAGTAGTAAATAAATAAATAAAATGGAGGCAGTAGTAGTACCTGCCTTGGGGAGCCATCAGGAAATTGAAACACTTCATGGGGTCTTACATAAACACTGTTAGCCTCTTTTTTTCTGTTAGAGAAAAGGCAGCCAGAAGAACAGTCAGAGCAGTGATCTTATTGCTAATGGTCAGTAATAATTGCTAGATCAGAAAGTTATTAGGAATAAAAGTAGTTCATCTCTTCTCCCATTGATTTGCCATCTAGTCTTAGGCAAATCTTTTTTCCCTCTCTGATCCTTGGTTTCTCCTTTTTATCAAATAAAGGTTTTAGTGTAACCATGAAATATTTCTAAGTGGAGAAACCTCCCACCCACCCTATGCCCCCAGATACCTTGAAACAACAACATCATAATAAGCATCAGGAACCCGTAAATACTCCCCAACAGAAGACTTTGGTCCTTGGCCCATATTGACCCTGGCTTGTTACTCTGAATTTCTCATGCTAGTGTTCCTGTGCTGGTCATACCTCTCAGTGCCACAGAGAGCCAAGAGCAAACCCTAGGTGTCTTGAGAGTGCATGAGAAAAATTAGATACTCTGTAAGTGGTATAGAGATAGAAGTGACTGTAACTACTGTGAGGCCCCAAGATTTAGTCTCATTGTGACCAACTACTTGGGCTGGGTCTTTCTCTTCCAGGCCATCATGAGGAAACTTCGAGCAGCTGTGGGAAGTAATCTGGGAAAGCAGGCAGCCAGCCAGGAGAGAAGGAAGAAACGTGCCCCCAATAGTAGCCAGGCCAAGCCTTCTGCTCCTAAGGGTAAGAAGCTTGGTCCTAGCCAAAGACTCCAGAGGCTGGTTTCATTGGCTGTGAAAGGGTGCAGATTTGGACTGAGAAGGGAGCCTGGTATGACTTAAAGCATTAAGACACTATTTAAGGGCATAATTCTGTGTTGCTGTGTGACTTTGGGATAATTGCTCTAATTGCCTACTTTTTTTTTTTACCAATAATACAGAGCAATAGCCTATGCTTTTCTTCCTTCATGTGACTTTCATGGGATCAAATGAGTTTATGAGCTTGAAAGTGTTTTGTAAATAGGGACCTTGCGTAGATATTTGTCATGTCTAACTAAAACTGTTGGGTTTTCATCATGGCCCAGAGACAACAGAGCCAGCAGTATCACTCTGAGAAAATTAAGGCCATAAATTGGGTCAAGGCTACTTACAGCTAGAGAACTGTGGTTGACTCTAGCTCCAAAGCTTAAGCACTAGATTGGGAGTAGGGGAGGTCCTGTATAGAGTACACCGCCACAGGCTTCTATGTCCTGGGTTCCTCCTGAGGTGGATTCCCTATGCAGGGAGGATCTCTGAGTGTCCTGGGACTCCTGCAGACCTAGCCAGTCAGCAAGAAGAGGAGATATTTCAGGCCTCTGTCTCCCCGTACCATCTATTCAGAAATAGAACTGAAATAATAGCCTTCAGGAAGAGTCTACTGAGCTGGTATGACACAGAGAAGCGGGACCTACCCTGGAGAAGACAGGTAAGCAGATGTGGAACAAGAAGGGTTGGGCAGGAGAATGGCATCCAGGACCTTCCATACTAACTTCCCACCTGGGCTTGCACTGACAGGCAGAGGATGAGGAGGACCTGGATAGGCGAGCATATGCAGGTCAGTACATCTCCTGAAAGCAGGGGTACCTTGCCTGGAAATGTACAGGTCTGCAAGGCAGGTTAGCAGTACTCTCATGCCAACCCCTCTCCCCTAGTGTGGGTGTCAGAGGTTATGCTGCAGCAGACCCAGGTTGCCACAGTGATCAACTACTATACCCGGTGGATGCAGGTGACACCAGGGAAAAGAGGGGAGGGTTGGGCCAGACCCCAGAAAAGAGCCTATACTTTGGGATGTGTGTAGAGAAATCTTCCTTCACTGCCCTAACCCTTGATCTCTTCTTCTTTTCTGCTTTGGAACTATAGAAATGGCCAACACTGCAGAACTTGGCCAATGCTTCTCTGGAGGTAAAAGCTATCCTTGGGTAGTGAGAATGGGGACAACTGAGGGATTGACCACTTATCTCTTTGACCTGTGACGCCACCTACAGGAGGTGAACCAACTTTGGGCTGGCCTGGGCTACTATTCTCGAGGCCGGCGACTACAGGAGGGAGCTCGGAAGGTAAGGGGTTGCCAAGGGCAGGGTGTAGAAGCCTGGGGCCTCAAGTGTTTCATAACCTTAAACCTTACCCCAATCAGGTGGTAGAAGAGCTAGGGGGCCACATGCCTCGTACAGCAGACACCCTACAGCAGCTCCTACCTGGTGTGGGGCGGTACACAGCTGGAGCCATTGCTTCCATTGCCTTTGGTCAGGTGAGACCATTGCCCACCCATACTTTGTGTGTGCTATCTCCGAGCCAAGGCTAAGTTCTGAACTTCTCTGTACAAGGCAACCGGTGTGGTGGATGGGAATGTAGTACGGGTGCTGTGCCGTGTCCGAGCCATTGGTGCTGATTCCAAGAGCACCCTTGTCTCTCAGCATCTCTGGTATGATACTGGAATAATGGGGGACTATGGGAGGGGTATCTTCAAAGGGTCTTTTCTTCACAGAGGTGTTCTCTTGTAGGAGCCTAGCCCAGCAGCTAGTGGATCCAAACCGACCAGGGGACTTTAATCAAGCAGCCATGGAACTGGGGGCCACAGTGTGCACCCCACAGCGGCCTCTCTGCAGCCAGTGCCCTGTGCAGAGCTTGTGCAGGGCACGCCAGAGGGTGAGCCTCCTGGGGAGGGAGCACTCAGGAATCCTAGGGTATGGCCCTTGCCCCATGACACCCCACCCTGTCTCTCAGGTAGAGAAGGAACAGTTCTCAGCTTCATGGAACCTGCAAGGCACTCCTGACGTGGAGGACTGCAGTGAGTGCGGCCTTAACCCCCCAAACTCACCCTCTCCTGCCCCTGTCAGGGAGCTGCCTATAGAAGCCTCAGTACTAGTTCTTTCTGAACTAGTAAGATCTTGCTGAGCAAGATCCTGCTGAACCAGGCCAAGCCTGCTTTCTGGGCTTGGCACCCAAGCCTTCCTGGACTGAGCAGGGCTTGGGGATCTCTGTTTCCAGCTCCCATCACTGGAAAGTGCCAGCTGTGCCTGCCATCCACAGAACCCTGGAACTACACGTTGGGAGTGGCCAACTTTCCCAGAAAGGCCAGCCGCAGGCCCCCCAGGGAGGAGTACCTGGCCATCTGTGTTCTGGAGCAGCCCAGAGCCCTTGGGGGTACCCACATTCTGCTGGTGCAGAGGCCTAGCTCAGGTACCCGGATGCTGGGAGTAAAGTGACACAATCAACAAGGAGGAGTAGAGAGAGGAGTCAGCAGCTAAGGCCTGACCCATACCTGGCTGCCCTCCCTCTCAGGTCTGCTGGCAGGACTATGGGAGTTCCCGTCCGTGACCTTGGAGCACTCAGGACAGCATCAGCACAAGGACCTGCTGCAGAAACTACAGAGTTGGACTGGGCCTCTCCCTGCTACCCACCTCCAGTACCTTGGAGAGGTAAGTAAAAGTGGAGGGACCAGGACTGATGACCTCTGTGGCCACATCCACAGATCTATTTCAACCCCCTGATCCTCCTCCCAGGTGAGCCACACTTTCTCTCATATCAAGCTAACATATCAAGTATATGGTCTGGCCCTGGAAGGGCAGACCCCAGTGACCACACCACCTGGTGCTCGATGGCTGACCCGAGAGGAATTTCACACCGCAGCTGTTTCTACCGCCATGAAAAAGGTACTACCTTTGTCTTCATTTCCCCTTTTGTTTCCTACATTGTCTATATGAACCGATTACTGTGTAAATAGGAATACACACATACACACACACACACACACACACACACACACATTTTAAGCTAAAGTACTGGGGCATAATGTCAAGGGCAGAAAATAGAAGTTTGGCTCTTTTGGAGAAGATGCCAGCCCTGTCCTTACCCCTTACTCTTGGCTAGGTGTTCCGTGTATATGAGGACCATCAGCCAGGGACCTGCAAGGTAAGTCTCATGGCCCTTACCCATCCTTCTGTCTCCAGATCTGAATCCGTGGGTTTTCAGTCATTTACTGGTTCAGGTCTGGGTGAACATCCTCCATTCCAGGCTTTCATGGGGTCAGAGGAATAGTTCTTGATCTGAGGACTTTACATTTGTTGGGTACAGGGTTGGGGGACAAGAGCAAAGTAATGAGGGCAAAACAGTGTGAAATGTTTGTGCAAAGGTAGGGCATTATGCAGTCTGCAATGCCTAAGGAGCCATGAACGTTTGGTTAGCTGGAGAAGTTGGCAGAGCCTGCCCAGGTAAGCCAAGGCATAAAAACCAAGCTGCCAAATCATTTAAGGTGGAAGAGAGGAGCCAAATTTGTACCTCGGGAAGATTTCCTCAGGCTGCTTTTTGTAGAGTTAGGCACAGATAAGATATTTGGAGGCAGCTCTACATATCAGGATAGAACCTGAGCTAGATTGATAAAGAGGAGATGCTGGAAAGAATTCCATGATGTCCTCTCCTCAGTACCTCCCTCTTTTGGCTTCTACACAGGGTTCCAAAAGGTCCCAATTGTCTTCTCCAACCAGCCAGAAAAAGCCCAGCTGGAAAAAGCCCAACCGGGGCCAGCAAGTCCTGGATAGTTTCTTTTGGCCTCATATCCCCACTGACACACCCAGCCTCAACAGTGTAGCCCAGTGATGCCTCTGAAAGTCCCTATCCCTGAGAGTCCTATTGTTTAATAAAGTGCTTATTTTTTTTAAATTTTTTGGGGTACTAGGGATTGAACTGAGGGGCACTCAATCACTAAGTCACATCCCCAGCCTTATTTTGTATTTTATTTAGAGACAGGGTCTCACTGGGTTCTGGAGCAGCCCAGAGCCCTTGGGGGTACCCGCATTCTGCTGGTGCAGAGGCCTAACTCAGATATCTGGATGCTGGAAGCAAAGTAGCACAATCAACAGGGAGGAGTAGAGAAAGGAGTCAGCAGCTGAGGCCTGACCCATAACTGGCTGCTCTCCCTCTCAGGTCTACTGGCAGGACTATGGGAGTTCTTATCCATGACCTTGGAGCATTCAGGGCAGCTGGCTATTGCTGAGGCTGGCTTTGAACCTGTGATCATCCTGTCTCAGCCTCCTAAACTGCTGGGATTACAGGCGTGTGCCACTGCACCCAGCTAAAGTGCTTATTTTTGTAGTCATTTTGGAAAAGTTGCATCCTTTCCCTAGCCCCTTTACTCCACATCTCTGAGGACCCAGGAAGTATTGGGTCCTGATTTCCACTGGTTGAGCTTCCATACAGCTTTAGGCAGAGAGAGGAGGGTGTGTTCTGTCCACATAATCTGTTCTCCTTTCCCCAGGAAGTGATGGCTGCTGCAGGGAGCACCTGCCAAGAGTTGACACCCAACACTTTCTAGGTCTCAGGTCAGCTTGATTGGAGCAGTGGTATTATCCTAAAGCAGGTGGTTGGGCTTAACCCTGAACCAGCCTGTCTCTACCTACATGGGTTGCTCCCTAGGGAGAAGGGAAGCACAGAAGAATTTGTCTTAATTACCTACCTCAAATACTAAGTCATTTATTTAGGGATACATTTCACATATAGTGAAAATTCAGAAATGCAAAGGGTTAAAAAAAATCACAAATCTGGGGCAGAGAGGGAAATACTATCATAGGGGAACACAAAGGAGTGGGAGTGTAGCTCAGTAATAGAGCATGTTCCTAGCATGTGCAGGGTCCTAGGTTCAATCCCCATCTTGCAAAAAATAAATTAGTCCTACTCATATTAAAAAAAAAAAGAACACAAAGGCTTGTATTAGTTATGTCTGTGACCTAATCATGTAATTTTTTATTGTTCTTTGTATCTTGTGAATGTATTAGATATTAAATTGTAAGAAATGTTTTATACTTAAACAAACAAACAAAAAACAACACTTCTTTGAAGCCCAGTAAGAGACTTAACTGCTGGCATGTACTAAGGAGAAGCAGGGCACACCTGGCCTCTGAGGGTATTGCATTTCAATAGCTGGGCCTCCTCTGGGTGTGTCTCAAGCTACAAGAAAGTGGCTGCATCTAGCTCTGGCTGTCCTCAGGCTTTCTGGCTCCTGGCAGCTTCCTCTTGTATGGATTGCCACAGTGCTCGAATGTTGTCCTGGCCAAACCCTGTGGCCCCTTGCCTCTGAATCAGCTCCAAGAAGAAGGTATCCTCAGCAAAGAGGGACTTGGTAAAGACCTGAAGCAGAAACTTGCCTTTATCTCCATCTAGCAGTATTCCCTGTCGGGCCAGAACGCCAGGTATGAGCCCCGCAGCTAGGATCTGCTTTTCTTTGCCTGGCTGCTGGTAGTATGCTTCGGGAGGTGTCAGGAGCCGGCCTCCGGCCAAAGCCATACCCTCACTGGCCTCCATGATGTTCGGCGTATACAGTCCTACGTGCTGCAGGCCCGGCCCCCTGTGCCGAACCAGAAATTGCTCCACCTGGTCCTGTCTATAGGTAGCCCCCGGCAGAGACTCGGCCAGCACAAGGGTGGGGACAATGCTGCCGGGTGGAGTCTGCAGGGCCATGAGCCGCAGCCCCCCATTCCCCGACTCAGTTACCACTTCGAGGCCCCGCTCAGGATCCTCCCCTGGGTTCAACGGCAAGTGGTGAAAGCCCAGGCAGTCCTGGAACCAGCGCCTAAGTGTTGGGGAGCTACCGGGTGTGCAAGCCAAGGTCAAGTGGTCCACGTGGCTGACCCAACCTGCGTCGGGCTTGGAGGGCACCGGTCCGAAGCCCGGTAGGAAGGGCCCGTGATAGCCGGCACGCTCCAGCAACGTCAGGCTGAGGTTGCCAGCCGGCGAGCTAACCACAGCGTAGGTGGCGGCGCCCTGAGCATCCCGAACGTTAACTGGGGGCACCGGCACACGACAGCCCCGGGATGCCAGCACTTGGGCAGCGGTGCTCGCATCGTCCACATCGAAACACAAGTTCGTGGCGCTGGGCACAGCATGATGTGGGTCTAGACCGTACAGCGGCTCCCCGGGCCCCGCACCCTCATTCACCAAAAAGACGGCGTCTCCGCTGCGTAGGGCCAGTTGCCGCCAGCCACCTGCCTCCCGCGCCGCCAGGGGCTGGAAGCCAAAGAGGCACTGCAGATCCCGGGCTAGGGGCTGCCCGGCAGCCACTTGGAAGGCGATGTGACACAGGCGGCGGGCGTGCACGGCCATTACGCGCCTCGTGGCCAGCCGGGCGGTTCTTCTTCTAAGGCAGCTCCCTTATCGTTCAGAACTCCCAAGACTTTTGGTCCCAAGTTGGTTGTCCAGAGCCGGTTGGAAACTGGTGGAGTCCAGTTCTTCCCAGAGATCGTGTTCCTCGCTTGCTCTTTTCTAGGGAAGAAATTTAAAATTTAAGCTGGGTGGCCTTGGGAGCTCGGTTCACCTTACAGTGTCATCCAAAGTGGATTCTGGGGGCAAGGGCGAGTAGTAAGGCCACGAGGAACCAGTACTGGGCGGAGCGCGACCGAAGGAGGGCCTATGACTCCGCCTTTGACACGCCTTCCTCCAGGTCTGTCGCCTAGGATACAGTGGGGACACTGCTCCTTTTCAGGGCCTAGGAAATCACAATAGTCACCTTCATTTAATGCCAGGAACTGGATTCACACTCTACCCGTGACCTCAAAGCAAAGGACACAGCCCTTGTTGGTGAAGGATCCTGAATCCTTCCTTCACAAACAAGTGATTTCTTAGCAGTTTCATGCTTTTCTTCACAATTCAGGGGTTATCCTTTAAGTTCTTTTTTGTTGTTGTTGTTAAAAAGAGAGAGAGAGAATATGAATCTTTTTTGTAGATGGACACAACACAATGCCTTTATTTTTATGTAGTGCTGAGAATTGAACCCCCACCCCCCACCCGACCCCCTAGGCCAGCGCTCTACTGCTGAGCCACCATCCCAGCCTGAAGTTCTTTTTTTAATATTAAAATGTTTAGAAGACCTTCATTCCCCTAAACAGTCCAGAAAAATTGATATAAAAAGATGGACCACCAATATGCCATCTACATGTCTCAGCTACACTTATCTCTCTAAGCCTACTTCTCTCAACATCTTTTGCTCCCTTTTCCCAAGAAGTGTAGGGAGGGGGACCCTTTGTTGTTGTTTATTTTGTTGTTCCTGAAAAGAACAGCTGCACCCCACCCTGTCAGGACTAGAAATCAAGTCCTCTTTGCTCTTTGAAGCTTCCTAACTGGCCTTGAGCCAATGCTTTGGGGGTGAGTGGGGGTTCTAGCCTTGAGACCCAGGATTATGTGAGATCAGTGAAAGGAGGAAATTAAAAATCTGGCTTCAACTGGATGACCCTTTAAGGGTTAAGGAAGGGCATTCAAGAAGGGCAAAAGGCATAAGCAAAAAGCTCAGTGAGTATTAAGCTAAACTCGGGAGAAATAGCATTGGGGAGGCATTTGGTATGGACACTAATACGGTGATGAGTCCTGCTTCCCCACATGTTGAAGTTCGAACATTAAAGAAGCATGCCGAGGGATTCCACCTCTTGGGTCCTCTTCTTCCTCCGGGAGAAGTCTTTTCTGCTGTCCTTTAATAAACTTCTAATTTCTACTCTGAAAAAAAAAAAGCATGCCGAGGCAAGCATATGAAGCAGGGTTTATTTAAAAAGGGGTAACATAGACTTCTCCTGTGAGGGAGAATGGGGCCATAGCTGGTATCCTGGTATCCCAAGAAGCAAGGTGTTCTGCCCTTTTTTTTTTTTTTTAAAGAGAGAGAGAGGGGGGGAGAGAGAGAGAGAGAGAAATTTCTTAACATTTATTTTTCAGTTCTCGGCGGACACAACATCTTTGTTGGTATGTGGTGCTGAGGATCGAACCTGGGCCGCATGCATGCCAGGCGAGCATGCTACCGCTTGAGCCACATCCCCAGCCCCATGTTCTGCCTTTTTTATATGTCCTAGACTTCCTTTGTTCTCCTGCTTTCCCCCCTTATCTTTTTCCTTCCAGTGGAGGAGACTAGGCCCAAGAATGCTCGATGGGAAGGCCAAAAGGTGGGAAATAGGTGGGCTGAAGGGGGAAGGGCAGGGGGGGAGTAGACAAGGACACATTAACCTTATAGCTCCCTGTAGGGTGGGGAAATTCCTGGGACAGGTTACCTTGGCAACAAGTTGGAGCAGGAGCAGGTTCTTGATAAGATTCCTCAGGAGACAGTCTCCAACTTCCCAGACTTGCTCACAATTGGCCTCCTAGATCCTACTTGACTCGATTTACCTATCTACACTGACTGCCTAATTCTAGCTTCAACACCAAGGTTTGAGGCATTGCAAGAGATTCAGGAAGCCTTCTCTGTAGGGATTCACTGGCAAGAAGAAAAAGGCAGAGCGCTCACCTATCATGTGTGAGGCACCGGGTTCAATCCTCAGCACCACATAAAAATATATTGTGTCCACCTATAACTAAAAAAACCTTTTTTTTTTTTTTTTAAAGGAGGAGGCTATCATAAGGGAACAGGGCTTAGAAAAATAGGCCTGGATGGGTGTTCAAAACTGTAGACAGGAGGAGAGTACCTGGAAGCTGGCCAATGCTGCTTAAAGGCACTGGGTGTTATTCTGCAAACCACTGAATGTGAGAACATGAATTCCACAGACAAACTTGAGTTTAAAATTCACCCCTAGCACTTATTACCAAGACTTTTGGTGAGTTGTTTAACTTCTCTGAGCCTTAGTTTCCTCTTCTGCAAAAATGGAGATAATAGGGCTGGGGATGTGGCTGAAGCTGTAGCGCGCTTGCCTGGCATACACTGGGTGCTGGGTTCGATCCTCAGCACCACATACAAATAAAATAAAGATGATGTGTCCACAGAAAACTAAAAAATATCAAAAAGTTCTCTCTCTCTCTTAAAAAAAAAATGGAGATAATAATGTCACAGGAAGGGCTGGGGATGTGGCTCAAGCGGTAGCGTGCTCGTCTGGCATGCCTTGAGGCCCGGAGTTCAATCCTCAGCACCACATACAAACAGATGTTGTGTCCACTGAAAACTAAAATAAATAACTCTCTCTCTCTCTCAAAATAAATAAATAAAAGGCACTTATTTAAATAAATAAATAAATAATGTCACAGGAGAAGACATCTCTGAAGAGGGTTCCAAGGAGTTACCAGTGAGAAGAGGGAAACTGACCCAGAATCAGGAGGGTTCTTGACATACTTGACAGAAAATATTTTGGGCACTGTGGGTCAGAGGCATAGACAGATTTATTTAGGAAAGCAGATACATATTCAAGGGAGAATGAGGGCAGGCCTTTGGGGTAAATCGAGGAATACACATTCAAGGGAGAATGTGGGCTATTTCCAGAGGCAGAGACAACAACCTGTTGGGTAGGGTGTTAATGTTTATAGAGGGCTGGAGCTAGGGGCTGGTCTATAAGTGGAAGTAGAGTTACACAATTTTGTGCCAGTTTTCCCTGTGCTTCCTCATTATCCTCTTTTCACCAGGGAATGATTCAAGGGCATTGGCCAAAGGTGTACAGCTCAGGGGTAGAAGTTTATCAAGGCTGCAGTTCTGCATTTCAATGGTTTATGGGAACTTCCATTGAGACTCATTTTCTCCCTTTATTTCTAGATTCCTATCTCAATAGTAACTACCACATCAGGTAGTCATGAAATGAGGTAGAGTAAGTGTTCAGTAAATAGTAGCAGTTGCTACTGAGATTATTGTATTGTTTTATTTTTTCTCATTATACAATGTCATGGCACTTCCCAGAGGGTATTATGTATTCTGCTAGAGATAAGGGGGCAGGCACTTCACTGTCAAAGCACAAGCTGCTTAGTCAGAGTAGCTCAATAAATGGCCCAGAGAAAGCTTTGGCTCATTCCAAGGATTCCCAGGTCGCATTAACTCTCTTCACCCTCATCTCCAAAGGACTTCTTAGCCCCCAGGCACTGTGGAAAGTATAGGGACTACCTTAGGGAAAGAGTGCCCTATCTCCTGCCTGGCCCCATTTTATTGATTATTTATTACATGACCTTGAGTAATGTTCTTCCTTATTACATGTCAAACTAAGATTGTATAATACCAACTCAGCTTCCTTCTTAGGATATATTATGGGAACAGGTTGATACTGAACTTTGGTCTTGTACTTAATCCTCAAATGACTGCAGAAGCAATGAAAGACAGAAGCCTTGTCATCCCTCCTTGCCAAAAGTATAACGGTTACCAGATCCTAGATAGTGCTGAATTTCTCAGGTTGTACAGTGACATGGGGGAACTGCAGCCAGGCAAGAGGTGTAGGTTTTATCCTCTGAATTGGGTAGGGCCTGGAATGGTACTAACAGTGCCTCCGACTTGGCTGTCTGTGGGCCTCTGATTTTAGTGGAGTCTGAACACAGAGCCCTGGGAGTAGGACTCTGGAAGAGCTGGGACAGAATGGACTACCTTGACCCCTCAGAGTCAGAGCCCCACTGAGCAGCTTTAGAATCTACAGACCTTTGGCCTAGCCTCAGGAGTTTGCACTCAATAGTCCCAGTTATAGACAGGGGCTGGGTTTGTGGCTCAGTGGTAGAGCACTTGCCTGGCACTTATGAGGCACTGGGTTCGATCCTCAGCACTACATGAAAATAAATAAATAAAATAAAGGTATTGTGCCCATCTACAACTTAAAAATAGCAGAAACAGGAACCCTGGCCATTCATTTCCCACCTGCTCCAGAGGGGAAAGGTTTGTGGAGGCTAAGCGGGAGCTGTCTGAAAGATAAGGGTGATTTTCACTGGAGTACGTTGCTCTGCAAGGGTTTGCCAGGGCACAGACTGGACTCTCGGGCTGAGGGTAGAAGTGGTTGTGCATGTTGGTCTCCCTCCGAGGCAGATTCCATTTCCTGCAGCTCTACTGGATTCCAGATCATGGCCCACGAAACTCCTTGTTTCCTTACTGTCAGCAACCTGCCGGACTTTTCTCAAAGCCTTCCTGCTGCGGCTATAGCTCAGGGGAGATATGCAGCTAGAGATTGAAGAGAACCGGAAGACACCATTGGAGAGCGCGCCAGATCAAGCTGCAAGGTGTTGGCGCTGCTGGGGGTTTCCTGCTAATTCTGCCTTCCTTGGCCACAGGGTGTACAGAGACGGTGGCGAGGACTATGGAGGGTCCAGGAGCCCAGTGGCGGAGCCACGTCTTTCCTGCCGCTGTCGTCCTAAGCCTAACAGCTAGCGGAGGCACCGTCCGTTTGGCTCCAAAATCCTCTCAGATTTGTCTCTCGCCTCTCCCTGAGAGCGTAAAGCTCTCCAGACCCAATCCCTCCGGATCTCTCCGCCCTGTTTTCCTGCGAGAAGAAGCCGGAAGCTCACCCCTTTCTGGATCCGCCCCTTCTCCCGCCCTTCCCTAGTTCTGACCCCGAGCTCCTCCTTCTTTTCTTCTGCCGGAAGCAGCCCCGGAAGCTCCAGCCTTTTTGGACCGGTGTCTGTCCTCACGTGACCTTGTCCCACTGCGATTGTGGAGATTTGACATTTTACTGGACGCGACCTAGAAAATTTCAGGGATGATGATATTTAAGCTTTTTGTGTGTGGTAAAATACACATACTATTTACTAACAACCATGTTCGGTGGTATTAAGTATATTCATGTTGTGCGACAAATCCCACAGTCCATCTTCAGAACTTTTTCTTCCCAAACTGAAACTGTACTCAAGAAATAGTGGGTTTCCATTTTCCCTTATCCCAGTGGCAACCAGCTTTCTACTGTTTCTCATTTTAATTTGTAGGAACTTAATGCAAGTGGAATTATACAGTATTTGTGTTTTTATGATTGACTTTTTTCACTTAGCATAATGTCCTTAATGTTGTGCCCTGAGGGAGGTGAAGAAGTGAGCCCAGTGGCTCTTAAGGGAAAGAACCATTCTCCAGGGAAAGAAAACAAGCCCACTTTACTGATTTTTCCTCCTCTTTCTAGTATTTTCACTCTCTTAAGAGACAATTCTTGGGCTGGGGATGTGGCTCAAGCGGTAGCGTGCTCGCCTGGCATGCGTGTGGCCGGGTTCGATCCTCAGCACCACATACAAAGATGTTGTGTCCGCGGAAAACTAAAAAATAAATATTTAAAAAAATTCTCTCTCTCTCTCTCTCTCTCTCTCTCTCTCTCTCTCTCTCTCTCTCTCTAAAACAAGAAAAACTTTTTTTAAAAAAAGAGAATTCTGAGGTCTCCTTTACTTAAAAAAAAAAATCTTTTTCTGTCCTGTGTACTTCTGAAACTGCTATGGTATCTTTCTCCTCACTTCCACAGTCAGACTTCTAATAAAAATTATTGTTATATTTATTGTTTTATTCTGGGAATTGAACTCAGAGCACCACTGAGCTGTATCACCAGCCCTTTTATTTTGAGATAGGGTCTTGTTAGGTTGCTCAGGATGGCCTTGAACTTGGAATCCTCCTGCCTCGGCCTTCTATGTAGGTGGGATTACAATACTGTGTCATTGTGCATGGCTAAAATTTAATTTTGTCACTTTTTTTTTGTACCAGGGTTTGAACCCAGGAGCATTTTACTGCTAACCTACATCCCCAGCCCTTTTTATTTTTATTTTAAGACAAGGTCTTGCTGAGTTGCTGTAGGACTCGCTAAAGTTGCCCAGGCTGGACATGAATTTGAAATCCTCCTGC